CGAGCTCGAGTGATTGTACTTTTTTATCGAGTTGAGCTCGAGCTCTAAGTAGCTTAAAGAAAAAAAAAATCAATCCTGCTCGATAAGGCCAATGCTCGGCTCGACTCGTTTGCAGCCCTAGTCACGAGACAATGGTACTCCGATGCAGTCGCACGAGCCGAAAAGCCAGATTAATCAAAACTGGAAATAAACTACTGCAGTACGAGTCACAACATTCTACTTTGACGGTTAGAAATAGATATGGTCAGTGTTCATGCAAAGTAAGGAAAATAGGATTAAATATGTAAAAGAACACATCTAATCGAAAATAATCTAATGTTGGTTAATAGTTCTCATGCAATGAACATCCTAAAACACATATCAATAAGAAACAAAGAAAAGTAAAGAGTAGCCATTAAAGGATACTGATAGAACCTTGTAACCAAGCAGTAGCTGGCATGTCAATGAACACTTTTGAAATCTTCATATAAACTGAAATTTCAAAATATAAGTCCACGGCTGGAGAAAAATCAAAAGGGAAAGATAAGGTAACCAAGAATAAGTTCTGAAAGTGGGTCCCAGCCGAAAGTAGTTGATTATACTGCTATATTTTACAAGTGCAGAAGAATCAATTTATTCCCAATCTCTTACCTTTCAGAAAGGTGAAGACTTCATTGGCCAAGAACATCATATCGACAATTGTAAAAATATTTATTTTTCGAGAAATAAAAAGGAATGATGGTTATGGAACTTATATACCTGCAACAAAAAACATTATAGCATGCATACAACTGTATGTCCATTAAATAAGCCATTCTAGTATCTCCTTCCACATTCATTCACCAAATTGCAAGGGGATCACGAACAGCAGTTAGTGCCTTAGTTCCAAATTCCAATAATCAATTTGAATCTTACAGTATGCTGTATAGTTTTCAAGGACAGTAACAGTCAGCTTCAGTATCAAATACTCCAGAATCTTTCATGTTATAATTCACTTCTCAGTATGCCTCCGTCACCAGCCTCAAAAGGGACTCATATGATACACCATCATAAGATACTATTAGAAGTACTCAAACAAGATTTAGCATCATCAACAGGTAAAAGGGGGATAAAAAAGTGAAAAAAATTATGATAAACAATATTCCGATCCGCAAGGACTTAGCAAATGAAACTGCATCCAACAGTATTTTTGTTTAGTTAATGCATGGAATCACCTGCAATGTTCTTCACCAATCATTTCCACGCAAGTCGAGCACTGAATCCACAACACTGCACAAGTGATTCTTTAAGTCTTTTATAACAAGTCTGAAGATGGGTGTAGCAAGTGGGAGCTCCCCTGGTCCAAGGCTCACCCTAATTTTTGGAAACTACTACAAGAAAAATCCAAATTATTTGTATTTGACTAAAAAAATATATACAAAAATGACTAGAGGTAAAACAATTCGGGCGGCATGACTAGAGGTAAAACAATTGGGCTATCTTAGGTTAAAACGACTCGGGTTATGAACAATTAATTGAAGTTTGAGCTAGCTCTCATCCCCTTAGCCCGGCCACGCCCCTGTTGGCCAGAAATCAAAACCCCGTTAACTAATTTCTAAATATATGTGTTATATATATATATATATATATATATATATATATATATATATATCCTATTCATATTACATTCTATACAGCAGTAATGAGTCCAGTGAATTTGAGAGTGAGAAGCATGTTGTACATAACAGAGGAAATTGCAGTCACCAGAAGCTTCTAGTCATCCTTTAGTTTCTTCTAATTGTTTATATTTCTATTTCTGGTCAGTGAAGTAATACCCAAGTTTTTATATGATCAATCTCACCATCATGCCCGTCACCTAATGCAGTTTTCAATAACACACAATTAACCATGACAAGACATTTTATTCCGATTAGAGATTGAAGAGGATGAATAAGAGTTCAGACTCGGTACAACCATAAGTCACGGAATTCAAATGGGAAACAAGGTCGTGAACACAATTGACCTTTTGAGAAAACCACATAATGGTAACAACATGAACATGCACACTCAACATACATCATCACCTTAAGGTCCAAATTGAACACAAATATACCACTTCCAGCACATTAAACAATTCACTCTCCATTCATACAGATAGTAATTCTCGAATTATAGCCGACCCAAAAATTCACATTTTTTTTTAATGGAAGCTGCGAATCAGCTTTTTTTTTTTTTTTTTAAAATGGGGAACTGTCCTATAAGGCTCAATCAGTCCCTGCGACTGATATACATCTACATTCTTTAACATTAACATAATTTCTGCAGCTTGTCAACACACATATCTAGGGTTTACATGCTGCATCATCTCAAGCTTCTAACCTTGTAACGACAACAATCAGCTCAATTTTTTGAGGAAAGTTCAATTCAACCACATGAAAACGAGACAGAGCACTTGAAACACTGAATACTTACAGAATGAATTAAACTGAAAGCTTACTGCTAGCAGTGCGGCGTCGTTCCCGGTTAGAAGTGGCCGCGCTTGGCGTCGCAAACGATTTGGAGAAGCTCAAAAACTGAAAGCTTACTGCTAGCAGTGCGGCGTCGTTCCCGGTTAGAAGTGGCCGCGCTTGGCGTCGCAAACGATTTGGAGAAGCTCAAACGCAGCAGCTCAGGCGATGTGGCATTTTGCAGGCAGTTTTGCGAAAATGGGTCCCGTAGCTATTGAGGTGTCAAAACTGACCCTGCATTTCCTTAAATTTCCAATTTAGTCCATGTGTTTTAATAAAATTTTTTGCTCTTGGTATGTTTGTATATTAAAAAACTAATTTCATGCATAATTTATATTTAAAATCTGACTCAACTTTAATTCAATTATATTATCCTTGATATTACTGATATAATTAAATAAGATCAACCAGTCATTCTTACACATCACAACAACAACAACAACAACATACTCAATATATTCCCAACTGGTTGAGGTCTGGGAGGTCAGTTGTACGCAGACCTTACCCTTGTAATTATACAAGGAGGCTATTTCCGTAACAACCCAATGTGCATTGCGTCGTTTGATATATTCTTTTTTCTACAAACTTCACTAATAGAAAGAATACTATAATTTAATTGAGTCATTTTGATCTAGTCCATTATTAGCACTATGTCAGGAGAATTGTCAACAATGACTCTTCCAGCTCCATTTGCAATGGACAATTACACATCACATCAATTTTAATTTACTATCCATATACTTACATAATTTTAACTATCGATTCATATCACATCTCTCATACATTTACATCAAATTAACTTTAAGTATTTTATTTTAAATATTATTTTAATAAAACATCAAAATAATAGTAACAACTAATCATACCACATTTTTTACAATATACTATCAAAAAATTCATTTTGAGCGGAGATATTTGGTAACAAGAGTGTATATATGTTAAAATAAGTTGTTTATACATCATTTTCAGCTTATTTCAGCTATTTTGATAAGTCACGTTAGACGAGTTTTATCGAACTATTATCAGGTCAACAGAAACAATTTTATGATTTAATTGGCTCATTTGTGAATTTATGAGAGATAATTGTATTGTTGGCTAACATATGATATTGTTCAAATCTTGAGTTTAAGAGAATAAAAAGAATAGGATTAGAATAAAACATAATGTCTAGGTAATTTCGATATCGAGAGCCACACATGCTCAATATTTTGTGCTATCCTCACCCTACGTTTGTTATGGGTTCAATAGGGGGACGTCCACTGGCCTACTTCAATTGCGTAAGACCAAACTCTCGCCCTTTTCTACTTTGTTCACCATTTTTTTCTTTAATGGTGGTATATTGAGCATTGTTTTACACCTTAAAGACTCATGGAGAGTCTCAAATTGTGCGAGCGAGTTGTAGTGGTTGTCAAGTTAGTTGTAGGAGACTAGTCGTGTCTGACTGATGGAGAGGCTCATGGTGAATCTATATAAGAGGAAACACAACTATAGTGAATGACATAGATATGTGTAATATAAAGATAAGCACATATCCTAGATGAGATATGAAGGTGAAGCACCTTGCCTAAGATGAGGTGGTTTGATACGACCAACTAGTTTTAGAATGAAAAAGATCGAAGTGGTTTCAATTCTTGCCAACTTTTTATGTATATATAAAAAGAAATCAAATCTATATCTCAATTAATGGAGCTTCGTGTTTCTATTCGTTGGTTTATGATACTTTGCAATCTTATTTGGTTGTTTTGGAGTAGTCTACATAGTTTGGACTTCTATTCATGCCTAATAGAACTTTTAAAATTATAAAACACATAAAAATTAAATTATAAATACATTTAAAAATATAATAAAATTTGCATATGTTATCATATTTTTCATATGTAATAAAACATATTAACTATTTTTTAATGAACTTTGATTTGTCACCCATATTGCATATATAATTAAATATATATTTATATTTATAATAAAGTTTAAATTTATATCTCAATATAAATTAAAAAATAATAAATTATTTATCAATTAAATAAATTTAACTATTATGTTCATTATATAATATGACTTAAAAAGTATTATATAATATGATTTAATAAAATTATTATAATAATATCAAGCGATCAGTATTATTTAAATATAAATAATACTATAATTTTTTAAAATTTGTTTGAAACATAAATAAAAAACTTTCTCACCTTAATATTTTTTAAATTTAGTTTATAATTTTTTTGAGAAGCACCAACCAAGGTTATGATTCTTTCGGGTAGTAACATGAAACTTATATATTTAGGGGGGCCAAAAAGCATTTTACCTAAAGTACGAGTCCCGTTCGCAAAGAAATCTTAATCTCACTGCTCTGCCACGCAGCACGACCACAACAACAGTGTTCTTCTGTTCATTTTTCTCCCAAATAGCTGGACCCCTCGCGATTCATAAACCCTAAACGCACTTTCTAAAACCTTATGCACTATAATCCTATATTTTCACTCTCACCATTGTTGTTTTCGTGAATCAGTTGAAGAAATTTGGAATTTCTGAAGCATGGACATTGAGCAAAAGCAAGCGGAGCACATAGACTACTTTGTGAAGCAGGCGTCGGATCTAAAGGGCTCAGCTCTGTCGAATGTCGTCGTTGAGGCCACTTCCCATCCTTACCTATTCGCTTTCTCTGAGATTCTCTCCGTTCCTAACGTGCTCGAGGTATGTTGTCCGTGTTTCTGTTGTATTAGGTTATGGTTCTTTTTTTTTTTTTTTTTTTT